GGCACATAACAACAACAACAACAACATTGTGATGGGAAAGTCTGCTGTTAGGACCTCTCCAAAGTACTGAAGAGCAATGGTGCATCTGATACAGGCCATGGTCTTTGCTATCATTTGTTATGCATCAAAGAGTTGGACAATGACTAGGGAGGATAGAAGGAAAATTGATGCCTTTGAGCTGTGGTGCTGGAGAAGAGCATTGATGGTACCATGGACTGCTAGGAAAACAAACAGATTCATCCTAGAAAGGGTTAAACCAGATGGCTCCTTGGAGGCAAGGATTCTGAGGCTTTGTCTAACATACTCTGGACATGTTGTAAGGAAGGACCAGTCCTTGGAGAGGGATATCGTGCTTAGTAGGGCGGACAGACAGCGCAGGAGGGGAAGGCCCTCTATGAGGTGGACTGATTCAGTGACTGGGGTAATCGGCATGAGTGTATCAGAGACAGTGTGATTGGCACAGGACAGAGGAGAGTTAAGGCTGTTGTACATAGGGTTGCAAGCAACTCGACATCACATAACAACAACAACAGGTATATACAAAAGGCCTGAAGTCTTTCAATAACGATCATCATTTCTTCAAGTTTATAGACTTTATAGAGGCATGCAGTTTAGGAAATGGATGCCACTCCTACTTCCAAACCTAAATCAATCTGGGAGCTACACCAAACACTGCCCACGATGGGTAGCCATTATGGTGTTTGGCACACCTATGGGACAGTTGTTCCATTACGGCATTTGAGATCCCAATGGCACAAGGTTCAGTATCACAGCAAATCCCCTATACCACCTAACACCACCAATAAACTGCTGTGAGACCTTGGACAAGTCGCATCACCTCTCTGGGCCTGTTTCCTCATCTGTAAAATGAGAAGACTTGGTAATGCATGCACCAGGCACTATGCAAATTCCCTAACACAAAAATAAAGAAGTCATTTGATCATAAAACTCTATTTATTGGGCATTGTCATTACAAGGATGAGTAAAGTCAATGTCCCCGCCATCAAGATGTTCACCATCTAGTGAGGGAGACAGTGTGGAAGCCTTGAAGGCCGAGGGGCAGAAACAGGCAGGAAGGAGAGATCTGTTCTGTGGAGACCGATTCAAAGAGAAGAGGCTTGACCGGAATGGTCTCTGCCTTCAGAGTATGGAAATAATCTAGGCAGAGGTTAGAATAAATCCTCAAATGGCTACCACACAGAGCTAGTGCAGAGCCCACTGGTGATCCAGGTTCCAATGGGCTGAGCCCTACATGGCTTAGGTGGCAAAGGAGGCTGCCAGGAAGTGGGCAGATGTTGGAAAAGATTGGCAGGAAATGGCACTTACCCAGGTCGTGAAGGATAAAACATCTGCGTAGAGCTTGGGGCTGGGGAGGGTGGTGGGGGACAAAGAGATATCCCAGATGCAGGGGCTGTGTCAGGAAAGACAGAAAGTGGGGGCTCCCAGCTGTAGTGGGGAAGTGCAAGCATCCCAGGAGGTGCAGACGCAATGGCAGGGTTGGAATGCAGCCACCCTGAAGGCCACTGGAGGAAGGGCAGTTCCTAGGCCACACACTATCCCCATATCATGGCCATTCCCGGACGCAGCTGTCCTCCTCATTCAAGGAAGGAAACTGAGGCTCAGAGAGGTTACAAGGTCACACAGCCAACTGGCTACAGAAATAAGACTTGACTTGGGTCTGGATGGCGGGGAGGTAGGTGGGGTGGTGGTGACTGTGCCCTTTCTGTCTGGGGGGGGGGCTATCATGTCTGCACACCAGGCCTTGAACCTCATACATAGAGCCCTATTCATGGAAACCAGCTGAACTGGGCCGTTTCCCCTCCACCAGTAACAGCGCTCAGCGGCGAGGCAAGGAACATCAGAACCTCAGCAGGCTCTCCTGTGCTCTGCTGTCCACTGCTCTCGGTTTATTGCTGCTGCTCCAGAGTTGAAGCTGGCTCGCTCCTGGCTCTAACCTCGCGGGTGCCCCATAAATCACACCGGCTTCTCCTGAGGCTCCGGTGTGGGTGCGGCCTGGTCGTTGGAGACGTGGAGGTTGTTCATGTACTGCTGGAGGCTCAAGGACTCGTGTCGCCAGCGGTTCAGCTTCCTGAGCTGGTCTGTGATGAACTTCTTCTTCAGGTGGTCGTACAAGTGGCTTGTCTTCCTCTTGCTCTTTTCGGAAGCTTTTGTCTTACAAAAAACAGGACAAGTAAGGAACAAAATCAGAGGTGAAACTTGCATATTGTAAAAACAGCAGGATAACCAGTAAGATGTGTCTGGATATTCAAAGAGGGAAGGGGAGGGAACGGGGGAGTGTGGGTGGGGAGGGAGGAAATCACCAGATGACAGGGTTTGGTGGGTAGAGGGAGGGGGCAAAGGAATTAGTGGGGATCTGAAAAGATGGGGTAATAGTGGACATAGATCAATGGTAATTCATTTTATATACACACACATACATATACATACACACACAGGTTTATTTACAAAGTGCGAATACTTTTTTTCACACCAGATCCTTCTCATTTCCTTCACCCCCCTATCAAATTGTGCGCTCCTATGATGAACCCCCATCCCCTGCCCATCTTCACCCCTCTGCTTCCACCCTTCGCACCCCCAGCCTCATATTCATTCTACAACAATGGTTTTATAATACTGATTAATTTTTTAAGAAGCAATGTATGGGAATGTTCATAAGAAACAATGCAAATGAAAAGAAACATTTTTTTAAATATAACATAGTGAAAAAAAGCTGTTCCATACCAAGGAGGCATCTGTGTTGCCAGTTACAAGGAGGGAGTGGCAGTTAGACCCATTGTGCTCTAAATAACTGAACTCACAGGAAGCCTCAGCTTTTCTCTTTGTAAATATTGGCACTGAGCTATGGAACCTCTAGGGTCTCCTCCTGACAGTTTGTTGCTTGGGGTCCTGACTTGGATCTCAAAGCTCTATTTGCATGGTGTGGTACTGTGACTCACAGTGCCCCTGTGAACAGTGATCAGAACCTTGACCTGTCCTGCGTCATCCTTCCAGTTTTCGCTCAAGCCTATTGCTGTAGTCACTGTAATCCATCTCACTGACAGGAGAAGGAGTCTTCTTTTTACTGATACAGTGACTAGGGATGATAGAGAATTGATGCCTTTGAGCTGTAGTGCTGGAGAAGAGTATTGAATATACCATAGACTGCTAGGAGAACAAACAGGTTCATCCTGGAGAGGATGAGACCAGGCTCCTCCTTGGAGGCAAGCATTCTGAAGCTTCATCTAAAATACTTGGTGAATGTTGCAAGGAGGGACCAGTCCTTGGAGAGGGGCATTTTGCTTGGGAGGGTGGAGGGACAGCGCAGGAGGGGAAGCCTCTTTGAGTTACGACTCAGTGACTGGAGTAATAGAGGTAGGTATGTTGGAGATGGTGAGGTTGGCTCAGGAGAGCAGTGTTCAGAGCTACTGTACTGCACATAGGGTACTATGAGTCGCAGGCAACTTGATGGCACATAACAACAACTACTTTTCCCACCGTAATGTCTTTTTCCAAGGACTGGTCCCTCCTGACAACATGCCCAAAGAACATGCACTGACGTTTCACCATCCCTGCTTTAAGGAGCACCTTGGTTGTTACTTCCTCCAAGGATACTGGAATACTAGTCAGAAGAGAGGTTGGGGGAGGTGCGCAGGTAGGGCTAAAATAATGGGTGCATCTGATTTCCTTCTCATTACCTAACTCCCATCACTCTATTCGTATCATCATCGTTCATTTCCTCTTTTCCAGATAAGGCCTGTGATAAAAACTCAACTTACTTTTATTAACTTCTGTGCTGTTTTTGTCCTGGCCTAAGCAAAACTGTCAGAAGGCACATTCTTTGTTTCCCTTGTTCATTTCTTTATTCAGATAGTTTGGCCACAGTTAATGTTGTTGTTAGGTGCCATCGAGTCAAGCACGACCCATATGAACCCATATGACCTTATGAGCAACATAGCTGAACCCTGTCCATTGTTGTGCCATCCTCACACTTCCTCATACCAGAGCCACTGCAGCAGTCAGTGTCAAACTACCTTGTTAAGGTTCTTCCTCCCCTTCACCTACCCTCCACCTTTCCAAATGCGATGTCCTTCTCCAAAGAATAGCCTCTCCTCGCAACATGCTTGAAGTATGGGAGACAAAGCTTTATCATCTTTGCCTCCAAGGAACACTCTGGCTGCACCCTCTCCAAGACATATTTATTTGTTCTCTTGGCTGTCCATGGGATGTTCAGTACTCTTCTCCAATACCACAGTTCAAAGGCATCAATTATTCTGTCATCCTTATTCACTGTCCAGCTCTCAGATGCATAGCAAATGATTGGAAAGACCAGGGCCTGAATCAGGCGCACCTTAGTCCTCAAACTGACATGATTGCTCCTCAATAATTTGGAAAGATCCTTGACTTCCCCAGTAAAATATGTTTCTTGATTTCCTGACTTCTAGTACCAAAGGTGTTGAGTGTGAATCCAGGTAAGATTGTGGATCCAAGGGGATTGGGCCCTTGGGCCTTTTGTGAAACACTAGCACCAAGGAGTCACCTGAGACTTCCAAGTGACCTTAATATCCACACATGGGACCCCAGTGTGCCAGCTGTAAGTCTCAGCCAGAATAATAACTCCCCAGAAGCACATCCTGCTACCTTCTATGCAGGCTTCAGCTGAACCTGGTATCATGATATTCATATGCCTGATTTGCTATTAGAGGTACAGCACTAAATTGTTAGTTTGTTGTAATGGGGGAATACATTGTTCTCATGTTAATACAGCACTTGTCTGTCATTTTGCTGTAACTTGTATGTTACATGCCACAGGAGTCACCCCTGGTAAACAGGTTTTAGTAGAAGTCCCAAATTAAGACAGACTAGGAAACAGGATCAGCCATCCACTCCTTAAATAGTAGGCCTCTGAAAACCCTATGAGCAAGAGCCACAGTAGGATATACTAAGAAGAGTCCAGTTACTATGTCAGTCCCTCTCATGTAGGGTCTCCCTCTCCTGCACTGGGACAAATAGATATATTCTAAGCCCAGCAGAATGTTGGAAACATTTCACTTGTTTGATAATGTAGACCCCACAGTGTAGCTTAGTGGAGTCCAGAAGTCTGTATCTGTTTCATGTCCCCAAAATAGCCAATGAGAAGTAAGTAGATCTGATTGCATAAATGAGATCCCAAAAAAGTATACTTCACCCAAGGTCTCACTAAGTGAATTTACTCATCTCCAAATCCACACTGTTTTCATTAAATTTAGCAGAGGGAAAATACTCCTACTCTTTATTTGACATTGGGGCCATTTAGAGGTCCTGGAACCCTCTTTTATGCCTCTTTTCATTTGCCTTTCACTGGCAGAATGGGATTAGTCTGACCAAGTTGGATTAGGAACATGGAAGAAAGTTCAACAGAGCTAAGAAGGGAGCTCTCTCTTTGCTTATTGTTCTAGTCTTTTCGTGGTGACTAACACAATATCTATCCCAAGTAGGTCTTTTTTAAAAAAAATTATTTTATTAATTTTAATAAACATTTACAGAGATTTTGGCTTTTCATTCATTCATTGTTACACTTTTTTCTTTACCCCCGTCCCTCCCCCAAGTAGGTTTTTTAATCAACGATTAGGAAGGTCTGCTGGGAATAGCACTGTGTTTCTCCTCCCTTTCTTCCACGGGCCAGCAGAGTCTTATTTGTTCACAAGCAAGTGCTCATCTGGAGAACGGGAGCAATCTCTGAAGGAATATCTAAATGTGATTCTAGATGTGACTTTAAACTCTAAATGTGAAACAGAGAAGCAATAAAATTGCAGTTAGGTTGTGCCATAAAGAACAATTATAGCTATTTAAATTGTCATAATCATTATCAATGTGGACAGTATTGCTGCTGTGTTATGCTCCAGAACTCAATAGTTCTTTGTCGCTGTGTACTGTGGAGTTGGAACTGACCCATAATGATCCTCCAGTGGGTTTCAGGGAGATAATGGGAATCCACTCATGGATTTCCTATTGCCAAACAGAGGTAATGTGCTGTGAGGAAATTTAGAGTCAAGAGACATAAGGCCCCTTGCAGTGGGTCCGTCTAAAAACAGCTGTAGGACTGTTGTTGTTATGTGCCATCGAGTCGCTTGCGACTCATAGCAACCCAATGTACAAGAGCCCTAAACCCTGCTCTATCTTGTGCCAATCTCACTGTCTCCAACACACCTACTCCTACCACCCCAATCACAGAATCAATCCATCTCATCAAGGGTCTTCCTCTCTTGCGCTGTCCCTCCAGCCTCCCAAGCATGATGACCCTCTCCAAGGATGGTCCCTCTTTGCAACATGTCCAAAGTATGTCAGATGAAGCTTCAGAATCCTTGCCTCCAAGGAGCAGCCTGGTTTCACCCTCTCCAGGAGAAACCTGTTTGTTCTCCTAGCAGTCCATGGTATATTTAACACTCTTCTTTCTCCAGCACCACAGCTCAAATTCATCAATTCTCTTTCTATCATCCCTAGTCTCTGTCTAGATCTCTGATGCATAGCACACAACTGTGAAGACTATGGCTCAAATCTGACACACCAGCCTGATGTCATTGCTCTTCAGTACTCTGGAGAGGTCTCTGACAGCTGACTCTCCCAATGCATTTCATCTCTTAATTTCCTGGCTGCTGGTATCAAGAGTATTGATTGTGGAACCAAGCAAACTAAAACTGTTAACAATCTCAATCTCTTAGCCATCCATAATGATGCTGCCAATTGGCCCAGTGGTGAGAATCTTTGTTTTCTTGATGTTAAGCTTCAATCTGTATTGAAGGCTGCAGTCCTTGACCTTCTTCAATAAGCGCTTCAGGTTCTCCTCAGTTTCAGCAAGCACGGTTGTGTCATCTGTATAACACAGGTTGCTGATGAATCTTCCTCCAATCCTGATGCCACATTCCTCCTCATACAGTCCAGCGTCCCAGACAATCTGTCCTGCATACAGATTGAAAAGGTATGGCGATAGAATACATCATCCCTGGCAGACACCCTTCCCGATTTTGAACCATGCAGTGTCTCCTTGCTCTGTTCTGACGACTGCCTCAAGTATAGTTTTCACATATAGTTTTCAATCAAATGCTCTGGGATTCTTCAATCAAATGCTCTGGGATTCCCATTCTTCTCAGAGTCAGCCACAGCTTGTTATGATCCACACAGTCAAAAGCCTTTGCATAGTCAATGAAACATAGACATTCCTCTGATACTCTCTGCTTTCTGCCAAGACCCATTTAACATTAGCTATAATAGCCCTAGTACCATGGCCTCTTCTAAACCCAGCCTGCACATCTGGCAGTTCTCTGTTGACATGTTGCTCCAGTCATTTTCGGATAATTTTCGGCAAAATCTTCTTTGCATGTGATATTAATGATATTGTTTGATAATTTCCGCAGTCTGTCGGGTCACCTTTTTTTGGAATGGGAACAAATATCGATCTCTTCCAGTCAGTTGGTCAGGTGGCTGTCTTCAAGATGTCTTGACACAACTTAGTGAGAACATCCAGGTTGGCATCTGTTTGTTGAAATATGTCAATTGGTATGCTGTCAACTCCGAGAGACTTGTTTTTGGCCAATTGTTTCAGAGCAGCTTGAACTTCCTCCATCATCACAGGCTCTTGCTCATACATGGTTTCATTAAATTCTTCTGTGTCAGCCAATTCTATCTGGTACAGTGACTCTGTATACTCCTTCCAACTTCTTTCAATGCTTCTTGGATCATTTAACATTGTGCCCAAAGCTTCTTTAAGTATTGCCACTTGTGGCTTGAATTTGTTTTTCAATTTCTTCAGCTTAAGAAATGCTGAACGAGTTCAGTCCTTTTGATTTTCTGACTCCAGCTATTTGCATATTTCAATATAATACCTTGTTTTGCCATCCCAATCTGTCCTTTGAAATTTTCTGTTGAGCTCTTTAATTTCTTGATTTCTTCCTTTAGCTTTGGCTTCTCAGCACTCTAATGCAATATTCAGAGTCTCATCTGACATTCATCTTGGTCTTTTCTTCCTCTTCTGCCATTATAATGATCTTTTGCATTTTTCATGGATAATATTCTTGATATCCTCCACAGCTCATCTGGTCTTCATTCATTGGCTATCAAGGCCTCAAACCTGTTCCTGAGATGGTTTTGAAATTCAAGTGGGATAGACTTAAGATCAAATTTTGGTTCCTGTGCATTTGATTTTATTTTCCTTAGCTTCAGCTTAAACTTGCATATGAGTTGTTGGTGATTTGTTCCACAATCACCACCTGGCCTTGTTTTCACAGCTGGATACTGAATTTCTCCAGCAATTCCTTCCACAGATGTAACTGATTTGATTCCTATGCACACAATCAGGTGAAATCCATGTGTATAGCCTGTGTTTGTGTTTCTTATAAAAGGCATATGCAACGAATATATCATTGAATGTGCAGAATTCTATCATTCTATCTCCAGCTTCATTTCTGTCACCAAATCCAAGTTTTCCAGCTACAGATCCTTCTTCCCTGTTCCCAACTTTTACATTCCAATCACCCATTATTATCAATGTATCTTGATTGCATGCTCGATCAATTTATGACTGCATAAATCTGTAGAAATCTATTTCCTCCTCTTTGGCTCTAGTTGGCAGTGCATATATTTGAATGATAAGGGGCATTCACTGGACTTCCCTGTATGCGTATGGATATTATCCTGTCACTTGCCACATTGTATTTAATAATGGATCTAGAAATGACTTTTATTATGAAAGCAACCCCATTTTTTCTCACCTTTTTATCCCTGACATAGTAGATCATATGATCATCTGATTCAAAATGTCCCATGCCAAGCCACCACATATTGCCAATACAGAGTATATCAGTATTTATGTTTTTTTCTTTTTTTAACAACGTCTAATTTTCCTACATTCATGCTTCTCACATTCGATGTTCCAATCACTAGTGTCTGCTTACAGCTGTTCCTCCTTCTTTGTGTTTCCATATCTGAGATCTCAGCCTCAACTGCCATGTCTGCTAGTCTAAGTGTGCTCCATTGTACATAGGGTTTTTGAAGGCCTGTTGTTTCCGAAGTGGATAGCCAATCCTTCTTGCTAGTGTCTGTCTTTAATTTTATTTTATTTTATTTTCTGTATGTATGTATGTATGTATGTATGTATGTATTTATTTATTTATTTTAGTATCTGACAGAGAAGCATTTTACAGAAAGGAGCAGATGAAAGACATTTACCCAATTAGAGAAATGACTGATAGATTCAGTGTTGCTACCCACCCCTTTCCCTACTCCACCAGCATCCCTTTCTACTTCTGCCTACACCATTCAACACCTCATTCCCCTTAACAAGCCCTTGATATGGTGACTTAAGGCCCAAGCCGTTTGGGTTTCAGTGATTCCGAACACCTCATGCTGCTACCAATCTCTTATGATGTGGCTAGTATCTCTTGAGGTCAGCCAGGCTCATATGCAGCAGACTGGGGCACCCAGTTAAAATGGTTTTGGGACTGGTGGAGGAGACAAATTCTGACCCTGGCTGCAGCAGGTAAAGTGAACAACCAATCACGGGCCTCCACAGGCTGGGGCTTCTAGTTAAAATAGTTTTGCGTGTAGGACTGTAGGCAAGTCAATAACCCAGTGTTATTAATGACCTCATCTGTAAAATGGGGCACTTGTGATGGATCCCTACAACCATCTGTAATCTGCCCCCCAGAATAAGTGGTGGCAGTTAAATGAATGTGAATTGAACCACTATCATCTTGTAAGGAAAAACTTACCTCCATCTCAAAGACTCGCTGTGCACTGAGGTTGTCACGAATAATCACCCGAGATAAGTGGCTCTTGGGTAAAAATTTTGTTGCCGCTACATCACTGGAATTCATTACACTAGAGGGGAGAGGAGAAAAAGGTACAGAGGCTCAAGATGGCTGGGACCAGGGCAGGACCTGTTTTTATGGCACATAGCTCTGTCCTAATATTCAGAGAAGCAAGCGAGTAAGCAGAGGCATCTGGGGGGAAAGTGGGCCAAAGAGGTGTTTCTTGGATGTTGAGAGGAAAAGCTGTCTTGGGCGTGGGGAGTAGAGGATGTAGAAGGACCCAGGACAGCCATCTTAAGGAGAAAATTTAAAATTCTGAGTTAGGGGTAGGAGAAATATTAGAAGGTTTAGTGGACGGTTCAGATGGATAAAATTGAGAACCAGGGAAACTGGGTCCAAAATCTAGGTCTAAGGCTGATCTTGGTAGCAAGGAATATAAGGAAAGAAAGAAGTTTGCTCATCAACAAACGAATGGCTAGAGAAGCTGTGTTATATTCGCACAATGGAATACTATGCTGCATTAAAAAACAAGGAACTCATGCAATATTACTCAAAATGGTTGACTCTGGAGAACATTATGCTGAGTGAAATGTCCCAGTCACAAAGGGACAAATATTGCATGGTGCCACTGTTGTAGAATGGGACTGTCCTTGGGGTTGGGGAGAGGCTGAGTAAGATGGAGTCAATAATGTATGCTGCTTTGAAACAGAGAAGGGAGAAAACGGCTTAAAAGAGATATGTGATTAGGTATTTCTGTCATGACAGGAGTCTAGAGCGATGGCTACATGGTGGAGTGGACCTGGGGGAGGGTTTGTAAAATAATGAAAGAATCTTTTCTTTTACTTTTCCAAGAGGGTAATGTCTGGTGGGGGGGAGCCTTGGGAGGGGACAAATCTACAACAATGAATGAATGGAAATCCAAAGCCTCTGTAAATTTTCACTGAAATTAATAACAAATTTAAATTTAAAAAAAGAATTAAGTTAGAGTAAGGATGGCAATGGAACCACCTTACCTCTGTAACTTGATTTGTGCCACTATTAGAACCTCTACTCAGAATATTATTGCTTTTCAATTTTTGACTCATGCACTTTTAACTTGTTAGTTAAATTTGTATCTTCTAGGCTGCAACACTTCCACGATACATCTTCAAGGATATGAACATGTACGGCTAAGCACAATTGATAACAGTGCATCTAAATTCCAAAATCAATCTCCATAATAGTCCATGTGTTTTCTACTGCCAAGGGGGCCCTTTGGAGTAGTGAGAGAAGACATTCACCCTGAAACCCACAGCGTCCCTTTTCAGCAGGAAGTAGCTAAGAGAATACGCCATCCCCTTTTCCTTATGAATCAGGGTGAAGTCTCTCTCAGGGAGGAGTGATAGGGAATGGCAAGGGACACACTGACAAAGGAGATTAATCAGAACTGGCTTTGACAAGTACTGTGGCAATTGGACAATTAAAACAGACATGGGGGGGAGAAGAACGAACTGGGGAGGAGGGTGGAGAAAACAGTGCAACAATGAATGAATGAAAACCCAAAATCTCTGTAAATGTTCATTAGAACTAATAAAATTTAATATAAAAAAAGAAAGTAGTTTGGACAAAAATGAACAGCAGAAGGTCTGGATTTGGGGAAAGTATAGAAAAGTGAGGGAGGTCTGGTATTTTAAAAGACTCTAGATTATGAGGCGAGGGAGTTTTCCAAGTGGAAACAAATAGCATGAGGAATTGGTCAAAGATTGTGTTGGGCAAGAGTGTCATTTTTTTATAATTTGGTCATACCACGGAGTGGTATTTTGCAAATGAAATCAAAACAAACAAGCTCATACCTGCTGCCATCAGTTTAATTCTAACTCATGTACTTTAAATGCTTTTGCTTTTTTTCTCTTTTGCTCATTCTGAAGTAACTGTTGAATTTCTAAAATTTTGGAAGCACTCTAAAATATGAACCAATAGGAATACAATGAAACTGTAGTCAAGTTGTATAAGATGACTACTGTGGCTATTAAAATTATTATTTGTTGTTGTTGATTGCTGTCAAGTCAAGCACAATTCATAGCAACCCTAAAGCCTGAAGCCTTTCTATAACTATTCTCATTTATCCAAGTTCAGAATTTCCAGAGGCATGTTGTTTAGGAAGTGGATGCCATTGCTGCTTCCAAAATTATTATTATAAACAGACATTCATGGTCTATATTCATGGAAGAGGGAGCAAGTTACAAAATGATAATTTTTCCTATTCCTCTCCCCCAAAATGTGTATTTTAATATACAATGTGGATGGATGTAGAAAGACAAAATACTAAGTAATACTGTCAGGTCAAGTAGGGTGATGGATGTTTCTTATGGCTTTGATTTTGCTTGGACACCTTGTCTGATTTTTCTACAATGAATGGATGGATATACCAATCCTATAATGAAGAAAAAAAAACGACAATTCTGAAGTATTTGCAAAATTGTTTCCTAATTTATTTTCAGCCAATTTGGAAGTACAGGTTCATGGGTGTCTTAATACTCACAAAACAGAAATCCCAATCTAGCTTTTATGCATAGCAAAATATTTGCTGAGCAAATAATTCAAGATAGACTGTATGAAGAATGAGGCACCATGATTGAAGGAAGACTCATCAATAACCTATATTATGCATATGACATAAAATTTGCTTGCAGAAATATAGATGCACTTACTGAAAAAGATCAAAGACTAGAATATTCACAGGGATTATACGTTAACTTATAAAAGACAAAGAGTTTCACAACTCAACTAATACGTATTATCATGAAAAATGGAGAAAATGTTGAAGTTGTGAAGGATTCCATTTAACTTAGACCCACAGTCAATACCCATGGAAGAAGCAGTCAAGAACCATGTTGCATTGTGCAAATCAAGGATCACTATAAAGTGATGAGTAAGGGTGTCACATTAAAGACTAAGGTACATCTGCCTAAAGCCATGGCATTTCTAATTGTTTATGTGCACGTTTAAGTTGGGCAATGAATAAGGAGTACCTAAGAATTGATGTGTTTGGCTTTTGGTGTTGTTGAAGAGTATTGACTATCCTATGGACTGCCAAAAGGACATACAAGTCTTGGAGAATCAGGGTGCTACTTTGAGGTAAGGATGGTGAAACTTCATTTCAAACACTTTGGGCATGTTGTCAGGACTAGTCCTGGGAAAAGATACCATCCTGGGAAAGGGAAAGGTTCGGTGAAAAAGGAACACCTTCTCAACAAGATGAATTGACACTGTGTCTTTAATAACAGACGTGAGTATGTAGATCTTGAAGATGGTGCAGGATCGGGAAAGGTTCAGATATGTTGTTCATAGGGTCCCTACGTTTCTGTTGTTACATTTCTGTTGTTACGTGCTGTAGATTCGACTAATTCATAGTTACCCTATGAACCATGGCCCTGAACCTGGCCCTATCCTGAGCCAACCTCACTATCTACAACACACTTGACCCCACAACCCATCTCATCCAGAGTCTTCTCCTTTCTTTTGCTGACCCTCCACCTGTCTAAGCATAATGTCCTCCTCCACCGACTAGCCTCTCCTAATAACATGCCCTCAGTATGTGAGACAGAGTTTCACCCTTCTTGCTTCCAAGAAGCACTCTGATTTCACTTTCTCCAGACAGAACTATTTCTTCACTTGGCAGTCCAAGGTATATTCAGTGCTCTTCTACACCACAATTCAAAGGTATCTATTCTTCTGTCTTCTATAGTCATTGCCCAGTTTTGAGAGTCATAACAAGCAACTGAAAAGATATGGCTAGGATAAAGTGCACCTTAGTCTTTAGGCTGGCATTGTAGACTGGTATTTAGCATTCTGGAGAGGTCCTGGATAGATTTTTTCCAATCCAACTCATCTTTTTATTTCCTGACAGCTGGTGTCAAGGCGGTTGATTGTGGATCCAAAGAGTAAATCATTAACAACTTCAATAATTTCTCCATCAATTAGATGGGCAGTGAGTTTTGTTTTCTTGATGCTGAGAAGCAATTAATATTAAAAGCTGTAGTTCTTGATCTTCTGCAGCATTTCAAGTTCCTCTCACTTTTGTCAAGCAAAGTTGTGTCATGTGCATAAAAGCAGATTGTTGATGAGTCTTCCTCGGATCCTGATGCCACACTATCTTCATAAAGTCCAGCTTCTCAAATGATCTGTTCAGCATATATATTGAAAATGTATACAGAAAAGACACATCACTGATGCATTCTTTATTTTGAATCATACAGTGTTCTCTTGCTCTATTCAGACAACACCTTCTTGTTCTGGGTATAGGTTTGATATGAACATAATTAAGTGTTCTGGGATTCCCATTCTTCTCATTGTTAGCCATAAATAATTTGTTTTGATCTACACAGTAAAATATGTTTGCATAATTGATAAAACACAAATAGGCATCTTTTTGTACTCTCTGCTTTATGCCAAGATCCATCTGACATCAACAATATCCCTAGCATCATGGCCTCTTCTAAAGATGGCTTTATATTTCTGGCAGTTCTCTGTCAATGCACTATTCTAGCCATTTTGTATAATCTTCACAATATTTGGCTTGCATGTGATTATTAATGATGTTGTTCAGTAGAACACCTGATTGTGCTCATGCAAAACCTACAGGTTAAGTAGTAATTTACAAAATCACTGGCCCTGCATGCTGGATAGTATTCCATCATGTGAATGTATTTCTCAATCCATTTGATTGTGGTTGGACTGTTTCCATGTTCTTGTGATGGCAAATAATGCTGCTGTGAACACTGGTGTACAAATCTCCATTTGTGCTTCAGTTCTCAATCTCTAGGGGTATATTCCAAGCGGTGGAATAACTGGGTCATATGAAATTTCTACGTTCAGCTTTTTGAGAAAGTGCCAAACTGTCATCCAGACTGGCTGTACCATTTACAATCCTACCAACAATAAGACTTCCTATCTCATCACATCCTCTTTAACATTTATTACTTGCTGTCCTGTTAAACTTTGGCACTGCTACTGGAGTTTAGATGGTATCTCACTGTGGCTTTGTTTTGCATCTCTCTTCTTGCCAGTGATTTTGAGCATTTCTTCACG